TGGTTTCCCTTAGTATACCAGGGCCCCTTTCCCCTTTTGTGTTTTTTCCCCCCCAAGAGGAAAATTCTTTCTTTCATTTCATTCCAAGGCCCATCCCTTGGGATGTAAAACCCTGTCCCACGGGGGTTTTTCCCTTCCGTTGGGGGCTCAAATTTTACCCCGGAACCCATCCATTCAGGCATATCCAACAATTTTAGAGAAATGAAAGAGGGGGGGGGGGGGGGGCGGCGGCGGTACAAAACAGAGCGACGTACAAATTGTACAGTCACGGACGTACTCAGACACATAGCTCGAGATATGCTGGAATTAGTGTTGTTGTGAGCAAGCGAAGCAGAGACCGTTACCCCCTCATCGTAATCTAATCGTCCACGCAAAACAAAAACACAGCCCAGATAACAACAAATTGGCAGCGGTAGCACGAACACCGACACACCTTTGAGCCCAGCCAGTCCATGCGCGGAAACGAAAGCTGATCGATCCCCACCGCGGGGGGAAGGGCGGCAGCAAACAAAAACCAAACACCAAAGTCAAGTCCCATTCAATATGCACACAATGACACACCTACCTCCCTGCCTTGCCTTCCGACACCGTACCCCTACATGAGTGCAGAACAGCAGTCAGTCCTGAGAAAGCCAATCGAGTTTTTTTGTCTCCATTTTCTTTTCTCGGCTACGTCGCCCGCTCTCTAGCTCTAGAATGCACAACAATGACCGTGGCAAACGCAAAGCACGCTTCCATTTCATACACATTTGAGCTCTGGCTTGCCGTCTTGCGCTGAAAATATTGTACCATGTTCTGCACAATCGGTGACCCCTCCCCTCCGTCCCACGTAACACTTTACACACAACCCCCACCTCTTCCTCTTGGCGGAGAAACCATACGAGTGTTTTGTTTGATGGCCTGGTTGTTGCTGCCTTCTCTCCCCTTCCCGAGCAAAGCAGAATGAACAAACAACGACAACGAAAAAAAAATTAGCAGACTGGCTCCGGCACTGCACCTGCGGGGGGATCGACTCGGATATAGGTACCAAGTAAAAATACTGCTCAGGAGGGGCAAAATCACTAAAGACGACGTGCCTCGACGGAACGTTTCTGCAGCCGTTGCGTGGCGCACTTGCACGCTAAACCCCATGCTCGGCCCTAGCGCTCGGCAGTACCACCAGGCACCCACCTGGACGCACCTCCTAAAAAACAAGAAATACCAATTGCGCCCTTATTTTTTCCGGGTATGCCCGACGTTCGCCCCTCAGCCACCACCCAGACTTAAGTGTGTCAACTTCTGGCAGACCGTAGCACAGGATCCGAACTGGGCGAGTCTAAACAATACGCCCCCGGAGCAAACAACCAGACCAAACACCAAGAGAATATGAACCAAAACAATAACTACCAGTGGCTCCGCTTTTGTGTTGCTTCTCTTCTTCGAACTTTCTGTAGGCTGGCTGGCGACAGGCTGTCAAAAAATTACACCAGCAAGCACCTCTCGAACTTTCGCCCCGAGTGCCATGAAAATTACTACCTTCTCATCAATCGACAACACCACCACCACAAAACAGCGCTGCTTTACGATTACGACGGCATGCTCTTTTAGCTAACCAACACCGCTACTTTGCCGCGCCGGAACAACAAGCTGGTGAGTGTGCCGCGAGCGCGCGCGCACACACAACACAACACACAACCGCAGCAAGACACGATATACCTTCTTCGCTGATCACCAGACTCAACAATTTCTGCAGACATATGACCCCTGTCTCGGTCGCCTTTTCTTCGCCCAGGCGCAGGTCTAGTTCGTTCATTTCTCGACACAAAACCACGTACTAAGCCTTTCGGGGCCCCTAAATGATTCGCTTAACCTACTCCTACCCTATTCTCTATGAACCCGCAGCGATGTGTCTGGCACGGATGCGCACACCCATCCCTTCACGCACGCAGGTACATTTGACATCGCAAAAATACCCCCCCCCTCGCCTTCCCCCCTCTGGAACCCTTTATCAGAGTCGAAAATCGAAAGAAGCCCATTTTCTGGGCGACATCACACGTGAACCTCGTGTCAAAGGCAGCAGCGCCATTCTCATCGGACATCCATCTCCACCCTATTCCCGCCGTGCCAATGCTACCAGCGACGAAGGCTGATGAGCCTGTTCTCCTCACCACCGAAAGCAGAAAGAACCGAGCTAATCAGTTCACGTAGCTGCCGATTGGCGGAGGCGCGTACGACGACTCGGGTCCGTACCAGGGCGCGCGGCGGATCTCTCCCACACCAACAGGGCCACCACCGCCTCCGCCACCGCCACCGACGTTGTACTGCTCGAAGTTGAGGCTTGGGAGCGGCGGCAACGCGCCACCGCCAGAGCCCTGCGGCGCACCCGACCCGAACCTGCCGCTCCCGAACGAGAACCCTCCTCCCCTCCCCAGCGGCGACCTGTCGGGGCTGCGGTCGTACATGTAGCCGGCGTCTTGCTGCTGCTGGTAGTACCGGTGCTCGTCGTCGCGGGAGTAGCCGGCCGGGCCGGTGCGGGGGCGCGCGAGCAGCGCCTGTCTGTCCTGCTCAGCAGCTGCGACGGCGGCGGCGGCGGCGGCCGAAGGCCCCGACCGCGAGCGCGCGAGAAGAGCCTGCCGTTCTTGCTCCGACATCACCATCCCGCCTGTTGCTGCTGTCCCTTCCTCACCCTCGCCGCCCCGCCGGTGCGTCGACTCCACCGACTCGGACGGATCCTGGCGGCGACGCGGCTGCTCCTGCAGCTGCGACGGCAGCGGCAGGTGCGAAAACGCCGCGGACGACGCCGAGGAGGAAGAGGGGGAAGAAGAACACGAGGCCGTCGTTGCCGTAGAACCGAACGGCGAGGGGAGCCCCGCGCCCTGGTAGTGCTGCTGGTACTGCTTCTGCGGGAACCCTGGAGGTGCCGCCCTCCCCTCCGTGCCGAACGCCAGCGACAAGAACCTCGCCTGCTGGGAGGCCGCGGCGCCGCCGCCGGCACCAAGGCGCTCGTGGCTCAGGATGTCGTACAAACGCTCGGTGAATACCTGCGCCCCAAGAAAAGAAAACAGCGGGCCGTAGTTTAAGGAGAGAGCTGGCAGATTTCACAGCAGGAGGTGTGGAGCACGCGCAAGCACCCTTAAACTGGTGGCACGACAACTCACTCCCTAAATACTCCCCTACGGTAACAACTCACCATCTGCTGGGTTTGCCCGGCTTCGTCAGACCCCGCCGGCGCCGGTCGGGGCTTCTCGAAACGGGCCTGCTGCTGCTGCTGCTGCTGCTGTTGTTGCTGCGCGTGTCGCGCGGGAGAGGATTCGCCCGCGGCGGCCTGCTGAGCCCGTGCCCCTTCCCACTGCTGCGCCGCCAGCGCGACCCGTTTCCGCGCCGGGCTATCCTGCGCCTCCTTCGCCATCCGCTGCAGCAGGCTCACAACCTCGACGTCGTTTTGGTCGAGCGCGGACTGCGCCTGCGCCTTAACGGCCTCCTGTTCGGCGTTGCCGTTGGCGGCTGTCGCGTCGGAGGAGAAGGAAGAGGAGGGGTTGGAGGCGCCCGGCCACTGCTGCCACTCTTCCCGAGCTGCGGCGTTGTGGCCTCCCACGGAGGTGGCAGGGGCGGCGGCGGCGGCTGTGTCCGGGTAGGGACCCCAGCTGTTGTTCCCTTCCTGCCGTTGCCTTTTCGCAGGGATCGTGTTGTTGTGGGGAGTCGTGCCGATCGGGGTGACCTCGCGGGCGCCCGATGTCGACGGCTGCTGTTGGTGACCCTGCCCCTGCTGAAAGGGGCCGCCACCGCCGCCGGCGCCGCCAACGAGAGCGGGGGGGCGGGGCCACGGGAGCGCGCCGCGAGACACGGAGGCGGGGGGCGGGCTCGGCGTCGCGGATCTCGGGTGCTTGTCGTCGACGGCGGCGCCGTTCGTGGTGGATACATTGTTGTTGTTGTTGTTGTTGTTGTTGTTGTTGCCGCCGCCGCTGCCGTTGAGGTGGGCCGGGGGCGGAGGCGTGCCGGTGCCGGTGTCGGCGGACGCCGGGGAGACCGGGACAGCGACGCGGGCGGGAGATGCCTTGGTCGATCGGCGGATGGTGAGGAGGGTCGTGCGCTCGCCGCGGCGGAAGTGGGGGTGCTGGTAGGAGCCGCTCTCGCTGCCTTTGGTGATCTTGCGGAAGCCGTACAGGTTGAGCTGGCGCTGGAAGCTGGAGAACTTGTCCTGCTTGAAGAAGCGGCCCAACACTTCGGAGCTCAACCGGGCGTGGTCGCGGACCTGAGATTTGTTCGGGGTTACGGTATGGGGTGCCGCCGGTGGTCAGAACAACAACGACATCCAAGAGGCATGAGACTAGTGCGTGAATGCAAGCAAGTACAAATGAAATGGTGCGTACCAGAGGCACAGCAACCGAACGAGTGGAGCAAGGTTGACAAGGAGGTATTGCTGCGTTGCTGCATGGAAAAATCTGTAGAAACAGGTTTTGCAGGTATCCGCTCACGCTACAATGGAGTATTCGTTGCTAATTTATCCCGGATCTGCTGTTCAGCAGATGTCACCTGCTGTTCAGCAGGTTCAGCAGATGCCATCTGCTGTTCGGCAGATGATTTTTTTTTGTAGTGCCGCCGCTGTGGGGTTGATGTTCGTTCAAGACCAATGAGACCAACAAGCTTGGCTTGAGACCACATGGATGCGTCATGACCGCGGCGGGTCTGTCAGGCACTACAGATACAGCGGCAGAGCAAAAAAAGAGTTTTCAAATGTGTGCCTCCCTTCGATTTCGATTTCAAGCTCCTCCTTACCGAAGGCAAAGAACCGAATTTCCTTGTCTCAACAAAGACAACCCAATGTGATGCATCATCGATCCATGATGTTCTCGTTCACCCACCAACCGCCCAACGACAAAATCCGCATCAGAGAGCAGGCAAACGAGGCTTGGCAACGCCACGAACTTGGCACTGCACACAGGGTGAGAGATGACCGGAGATGGTGCCCGCTTGCACTGCGTCGACAGAAATCCATCAATTTTTCTGTTCCGTATCCTAGCCGGACTTATTTTTTAAGCGAAGCGCGCAGGGGAGCGGGGGTACAGAAAGTAATGACGCGCTTGGACAAACATATTTTGGTCATAGTAGATGTGTAAAAATAAGCACAATAAACAGCATGACAATAGCAGTTCCTCTTTCGGTAGTGCGTAGGCACAGCAAGACTCGGGTTTTGGGACAATCTCGCGATACCATCCGTCCATGTCGCAAGCACAAAGGCAAAAATAAAGCCATGATACTATCATACGCACGTGTACACACCAGTATGCTTACTGCACCGAAATGAAAAAAATTAACCGCCCGCCGAGAAAGGCTCAATTTCTGAAGAAAAAAAAAAGAACGAGCGATCTTTCTTGCTGCGAATTGTCTTTTGTTTTCGCGCAAAAATGGGAATATGTCTACAGCAGAAACAGGATGGCTGTCAGCCTCTCCGTTCACCAGCACCAGCAAACAGCATGCGCGCAACCAACCCAGCGCAGTCGACCCGGCGGCGTAAGAAGCCAACAGACGCCAACAATGGCAGGCGCTCTACATATGAAGAAAGAGCCTCAAAAATATTCGTTTCTTGCAAGAGAAGAAAAAGGGTTGAAAGTTGCAACTTTGGCGGGTGTAAACCGGTCTCTCTTCATATCGTTGCGAGAGCGGTCCGTGTTCGGTCGCAAGTTATGTGCAATGACCCGCAGCAGCACCAGTGGGGGAGAGTCTCGTGAGCGAACAGCACAAGAGAGGCATCACCCGCCGGCGGCCTGGCACCTACATCTTGTTGTGTGGAGATCCCCGATCGGAAAAGAGGAGTGGGGTTCACCTGGCACACCCTGGTGTACGCAGATTATTAATGCCACAGACTTCGTTGCTTGGCTGAAGTGAAGTGCCCTTGGGTGCGTGTGTGTGTGTGGGTAAAAAAATGCGCAGAATAAATCAACACTTGTCGGACAAACTGCTGTCTTGTAGACCACACAGATATATGCTGCTCGGGAAATCGTGGTGGCTTCCGCTGACGCTACGGATTGATTGCAAATCTATCGTGGACGTATGTCTTATGCAGTATCTATGGATAGAGATACAGATGGATTCGTTTTGAAGTACTTCGCGCATCGTGAGAAAGTAAAAATCGGACAACCCAAACAGAAACTGCTAAAGCGCTGCTTGGCAGCAGTGTCGTTGCCGGAGAGAAATTAAAAAAGAAGGAATGATTGTTTTTTGGGCCGGGTCTGGCACGAGAAAGGAAAGCGCGTTGCTTGAGTAGACGGGCACGCGTGCTTTGGCAAAAATGGCCAACAGAGCGCACTCCCGAGGGTGTGCACGGTGCATGCAAGCGCATTGCACTTGTTTTCGTTTGCGGTCGGCAGAGAAGAGAGCTACAACGGAGAGACGGAAAAAAAAGGCATAGAGAGAGAGACGTCACAGATCGCTCGCTCGAAGAGATATTCCGAAAAATCGGCGGAAGAGAGAACGAGCAACAAATCAGCACAGCGGCAGCAAGCAGCAAACACCCCTGTAAGTAACCGAGCACCACCAACGTGCGAGCAAGCACCGCAGATGCTGCTGCTGCTGCTGCTGCAAAAGGGACAGCGCAGCAGCAGTGTCCGACGGCGAAGGATGTACATAATATATCCGTGTGGCATGTCGTTGCAACACCATAAACCTGTCAAACACAAATTACACACACACACCAACACGGAGGCACCTCTCACCTCGAACCCCCTTCCCGTTGCAGTCCATCCCACGATGTCGGGGTTCTCGCCCTCCAGAATCTCGTACAGCTTGGAAGGGAAAGCCTGCGGGGCTCCCCGCTTGCCGAATCGCGGGTACTTGGACGCCGGCGAAGCAGCGGCAGCAGCGACAGTCGGGGCCGCGACGGCCGCAGCAGGCGCTGTGCTGCTGCTGGGTGTCCGAGACGATGATGATGTGGGCATGACTGGCGAAGGTGTTCGCCTGTGGAGAAGTTTATGCACAGGCATGTTTCGCTTTTGTGAACGCCGCCGCTGGGTGCGTGTGTGTGTGTGCTGCTGCTGCTCGATTATCGATGGATGCCGCGCTTGCTCTGGAGAGACGCAGAAGGGCAGGCACAGGGAGAAGAACAGATCGGTTGTGTTGCAGCGGGGGTTGAGTCGCACGTTGTTGCCGTGAAGTGACTGCTGCTGTTGCTGTTGTTGTTGTTGTGTGGCGGGGTGTAGGCAAAAAGCCCTACCCCTACTTGTACCCGAAACGATTTTTTTTTTCTGAATAAGAGCAAAAACAATTCTTAAAATTGATCGTAAAACATGCATAGTTGTATGAAGACAACAACAACAGCAGCAACATCTGCAAATAGATCATCCGTGTAACTGGTCCTCATTCTGAAAATTGTTTTCCATCTTGTGGCACCCTACTTGTCGGGCGCTCAGGCCGAGCCTCTACCCCACCCCTTCACCATATACCTCGGCAGAACGCTCATCGCCTAGCACTGCTGCGCTTAGCGAGATTCGCTCCGAGGGCCGTTGCAACCGCTCTTTGCATCCCTTGGGGCAACTGCTTTTTTTCCGGGTCTCTCTGCGGGTCGCTGTTCGTACATAGGTACACTTAATATCCGAGAAAGCCGGCCGACAGACGAAGATCCGGGGCGGGTGAATCCTGCAGATGGCCACAGCGGCCAGTTGACGCCAAAATAGAGAGCATAATATACGAGCATTAGGGGCGTCTCCCCTTGTCAGAGACTCTGCCTGTGCTCTGCCGACGGCGGGATGGCGAAGTTGTTGCCACACGCCCCCTCTCTCCCTTGAACTCACTCGCGATAACAAGTCGCAACACCATTTCTCCCGGGGGCTCTCTACGCACAACGTCAGACGAAATGTTCATTGAGCGAATACTCCGATTGAAAAACAATTCCGAGAGATGGTGGTTGTTTTGGTGCGCATGCGCATGCACATGTACGTTTGTTTCTTCAGAAAGCTATTCAAAAAAAGCTGTAACCCCCAAGCATCAGCTTTTGCGTGCTATCTATCCGTGCGAAGCCCCTCGCTCGTAGGGATTGCACCCATGATGATGGTGGCAAGCACTGCAATGACTCACTCAGTCGTATCGCGGTGACCGCGCCCCTGCTGTTTTTGAGCACCTGCTCCTCTGAATATTCCACAAAAGAGCCGTGCTTGCAGGTTGGCAACAAGTTGAACAACGAACAATTTTTCTGCTGGCGCTACTTCGTGCGTTTTATTTTTCAGTTTACACGTTGTGGGTGTTACTCTCCTCCGGAACGATCAACTCCTTCTTTCATTGTGGCAGCGGAAGGCGCTTAGCCCTAATCGCTGCTGCCACGACATCAACAGCAGCAGCAGGAACAGGGATGGTTGTTTTTTGTTGTCTCTCACCTTGCATCGCATTTCTGCGCCAGTCGAACATGGTACACCTTTTCGCATAATAAAATGACTCCACCACATCCCGTTCGACTGCTGTGGGTATATCTCGAATGGGTAGTCTTTCTGTGTGTGTGTTTATTATTCCTTAATGTTCACGATGCACCAGTCGACATTCCAGAAGTATGCTCATCTGTACACAGCTGTCTGTTGGCTGATGTCTGCATACGTCCAAGTACATCCTAAGGAAAAGCCTGGAAGCCATTAGGGGGGGGGGGGCGAACCACACAAGCAAGGTATCTATCTTGTAGGTCTCCGGTGTATCCGCGGATGGATGGATATTACGTAAGAGCCACGTCGTGATCCGCTCGATGTACCACTGCTGCCTGTATCATGCTGCTGTACAAGCGTATGCGCATCATGTCTGTAGATGGAGAGGGCTATATTGGAATCGCAAATGTCAGCGTGCCCAAATTACAGTAATGTTCCTCCCAAGCAAGGCCGATCGTGGCTCCAACATGAAGGGGGTGCTCAGTGTCCATTGGACATCATCACCGAGAGAGAGGAGGAGGGATTGAAAAGTGTACTACATAGGATGGGAATCCAACCGTTGGTGACGTCGTTGTAGCTACCGCGGGCTGCACCGCCGCCGTTTCTTTACTCCCCGACCCTCGTTGGAACAACAACCATACATACTCGCCTCTGATGCACACACACGGAACATTTATTTGTTTCGCATATATTTCGTTTCTGTTCGTTTTCTCTCTCCGTACACCCACCACCAAAAGCAAAGCTTGAACGGCCAACAAACAATCGTCCAAGCTTCCGTTCTACTTTCTTTCGTCGCCCTCTCAAGAAGACAACGGCTAAAACATGACCAACAACAGCACCACTGCCTCATTACTTTCTCTCCGAACTCCGTCCAGGTTGTTGTTGCCCAACGTACACTTCCTTATCTACGAAGAAAATGATGACCAAACCAGATGCACGCAGATTTCCACTTAGAAAGTGTACTTCTTACGTGAGCTCTCGGGCTGCAATTTTCCCTTTCTCCCTGTCTCGCACGCGTCAGTCTCTGTGGGAGAAACCGATACCAGTGGCCACAATACGACATTACGGTGTGCCTGCGGTCTGGGTGCTTCGTTTTCCTCAACATTTTGTGATTTCGACGCTTATGTAGCCTCAATTATATTCCGTACGCTCTCATACTCCGTACTACGCATAGGCAGGGGCGCCGGGTTCCGTACGGTAGTCGGTCGAGACCCACAAAACAATAACCGCACATTTCACGGCACACGCCAACGCGCCTCTTGCATCAAGCAGTCAACTTCCCCCATCCCCACAAAAGAGGACGAAACACGACAAAACCAACTACTGCTGTAGATACAACGGAGAATCTTTCCTTGTCCTGCCCAGCCACCAGCCCTTTTCCGACGCAGGGGCCAGACACGTCAACCGCTCTTACGCAATTGCATGCCACAGCCGCAAACGGCCAAGTAGGTTGACGCCGGAAGATACTACCGTACGCGAGTGACGCAAGGCAGATCCGTCACCACGACATGACAAAGAACACTATCTTGCGAAACCGGACATTCTCCCTTGACAACTTTAACTTTCTGCTGTATAGGAGTAGGAACGCCGCAAACCCGCAAACCCATTTCCAACGTGTGGGGAGAACTGCGTTCTGCCTCTTCTCTGCTAACAGGCTCGAGCTTGTCAGTGCAGGCACTTGTGTTCAAGCGCCTTTGGTTCGGTTGTCGTTGGGTTCGTGTCTTATTACTGACCGGCACTCTTGCAATCAGCTCTAGACGTTCGGAACGGAGGGCAAAGCAGTGAGACTGATCATGTGCGAGGCTTAACGGAGCCAAGCTTCCGGACGGTCCAACTTCAACAATCGTCACGAACAGACACACGTCAGTCCGTGGTCCGTGATACCTCTACACAACGATCTGATTGGTTGCACTTATCCAACGATATGCACTCTCTCATGTTACAGGCTAACTCTCGTGACTCTAGGTCTATGCTTGTCTCAGCACTAGGTCATCCACATCAGCACTGCTGTAGCAGCAACTACACTACTTGGTCGGTCGGTCCAGTCGTCTATACACCCAGAAACGTGTCGACCGTTTCTTATCTCAACCAATAACGCCTCGCGAACTAGACTGAAACCCATTCTTACCACAAACGGTTGTGCGGCGCAAACCTCTCCTTCCCCGGCATCGCTTCTACGAAGCTTCTGCCGGCTCCCCTCCCTCCGCCCCGTCACCCTCTCCTCTCTCCTCGTCCCCCTCCTCTTCCCCCTCCTCTTCCTCATGGCTGCTGTTAAGTTTTCTTTTGCTCAGCTCGGGTTCCTTTCCTCCCCCAGGTGCCTCCTCCTCCTCCACCTCCTCCTCGTCCTCGAGTTGAATCTCCTCGTCATCGACCTCCCCCCCCCCAAGCTTGCGCTTGGTGCCTACCACGCCGCCCTCCTGCCCCCCCCCAGCCCCGCCGCCTCCGCCAAGCTTGAATCCCGCGAGGCCGTCTTCGCCGGCACCCTTCTTCTGCTTCCACTTCTGGGCCATTTCGAGGATCTTGAGGTTCGCCGGCTTCGTCTCGTCGTCCGGGAATTGGTAGTCGTAGTACTCTTCCCACCCCATTCCTTCCCCATTGGTGCCGGTCATCATTCTCCGCTTCTTGAACTTGCGCGGCATCTTGCTCTCCACTTCCTGCTCTCGGCAGCAGAAGAAAAAAACATTGAGTCAGTTCCATTCATCAAGAAGCTGTGTAGGGAGCATTGTTTCAAAGAAAGGGTATCGCACATGGAGCATGAGACAAGACACAAAGCAGACAACAAATCTGACAAAAAAAAAAGGAGGTAGCGACGCGAGCGGCCCAAGGCGCCAAGCGCGGTGCCGTGCAACCCTTGCGGGGGGGACGTGACGGGGACGGCGGGGACGGCGGGGCCCCGTGATTGCACCGATGGGGTGGCAGATAAGGCAAAAAGCGATCTGCATTCTACAATACAGCAGTGACCCGTCAAACACAACAGGGGCAAGGCCACGGCGGCGGCGAACCCCTCCACAATCACAGCACTGGCAGCGAATGCACACACACGACACACAGATGCTGGGGTTCGGCATTTCAGTGTCCACTGCTGTTCCGACACCGGTGAAACAACTACTTGTACCAGGTATTGGTCAACGAGTACCATGAAGATATCGCCAAAATCACGCACACAAGAGAGAGGGGGGAGGGCGGTGGATTGGTTGCTGGAGTGCACAACAAGCGATACAAAGGTGTGCACCACGAGAAACCTTCGGAGGCCAAAAATCGGCAGAAATAAACACGCAGCGGGGGTGAACCTTGTGTGAAACACGCACAGCGCCGCCTGTCACGTGAATTCATGTTGAGCATACCTTGAGTCCCCTCGTCTTGCCCTTGCCCTCCGCTTTTTCGGCTGCTCGCCACGCCTCAAGGAGCTTGACTCTGTGCGTTGAACGAAAAGCAGGTATTGCAAACCGTCGAACAACAGGATCAGAGCGTGGCACACGAAGCAGGCATTTTCTGTGTCTTGCTGTAACAGAGTACCTAGTACCTAACCATCTAACTACACTTGTCTACAAGTTCCACCAGAGTTTGGAAATGACAACCATCCTCTCGATCGGCTCTACTCTCTCCCATGCCGACCGCCATGGTCCCAACGTGAAACAACAAAACAAAACAAAACCACATCATATCACACCCCACACAAACACCCAGCAGAGACAACACGCACTTTCAAAACACAACGTATCAAATTCCACACGACAAATCATACACACAACATCCACCGCTAACGCAACGCATCAAATCAAACTCCACACAAGACACCATTCACAAAACACGCACCTCTACACAACGTATCACACCGCACACAACGTATCATACACCACACAACACACAACACAAACAACACACGACACGACACACGACACGCCACAAGGACAACAGATAGCACCCACCTCTCTTCCTTTAGTCCCTGCCTGCGGAGGTGGTCGTAGCCGCGGCGAAAGACCACTCTCGCCGTGTCTAGCTCCGCCTTGGCCTCGTACTGAGCGTAGCTTATCCAAACCTGCGTGTTGGTACAGGAAGAGCGGTTACACACATGGAATTTTCAGAATAGAGCTCTCTCACGACCGCTGTTCTGCTGCAAGTCTTCCTAGATCAGAGGCAGAGAGAAGCATGCGGTGATGCCACTTGTTGTTGTTGTTGTTGGCATATATTCTCGGCATTTGTGTCCGGCCATGCTACACTCTTTAGCGACACCACGATCGATGCACTGTGACGCCAACACAGCAGCAGCAGCAGCAGCAGCAGCAGACAACCACACATAAATACACCGCATGTATACACACACACCTTGACGTGCTGAGTGCGCTCGAGTAGCCTCTCGAACAGCTGCCTCGCTCGCTCCGTCTCGCCGTTCTCCGCCTGCGGAGCGGGATGTGTTTCCAACACACAGTAGTAGCAAACAGCGCGCGTTGTCGTGCCCAAATTAAACTGGAGAGAAGACAAAAAAAAAACACGCCTGACCACACACGGCGAAACGTGTTGCTTTGCTGAAGAACTCAACACCGCAGTGTTCTGGCAAAAACGAAAACACTCATCAGGAAAGGGACGGGTGTAGAGCGGGAGATAGAGGAGAGAGGATCAGGAAATTCACGCGTCGACCTCCACCGTAGGCACAACTGGCCAGCCAATCACCCACCACGTGGCAGGGGTACCACGTAGAGAACCCCCACCCACCCTCCCCCCGTCCGAGCGTGGCTCTCTCCAAAACCACAGAGCACCGCGACTGCGCTGCACGGCACTGCTGGGCGTTGCGAAACGAAAAACTCACGGAACGTCGGTGGCAGCACGTCTATTGTAGTGTCACATCACGACGACGCTGGTACATCCGCACCTCTCCCTTCTTTGCCGCACCCAGCTCCCCCCTCCCGTGCACCCCGCGTCATTCCCAAGAACTAATTCGCACGGTTGGTCTCGAAAGGGCGATGCACCGGTCAAATATCAACCGACTACGAAACCCCCAAGCAAAAAACACGATGTTCTCCACCACCCAGCCCCACCTCGAAGTCAATGTAGGCTTTCCAGAGAGTTTCAGGCATGTCCAACACGGGCTGGCGAATGGCCAGCTCGAACACGGCGCGGGACCGCTCCGTCTCTCCGACAGACCCTTCCAGAGCCGCGAACTGCGCCCACACCCCGCAGTCGCTTGGAAACGCCTCCAGGCACTTGCTGAACGAAAAAAAATCAAACGGCAAACAAAGATCAACGAAGCAGAGCCAAGAGAGGAGAAGATAGGATGAAGACCCACCACGACCATGATTAGCAATCCACGCCAGCCGGTGGGCACGGAATACTGGTAAGACAACAACACGGAGGAAGGAGGCGACAAGACCAGAGGAGGAAACAACTCCTTGCTTTGCCTCCACAGCATTAGTGTCGGGGGGGGAGCAAGTCGACCGAAGGACACACAACCGACGAAGCTTCGAGAAAACGCCACACTGCTGTACACACACAAAAAACAACACTCGCCTGTAGACCTTGCGGCAGCGGTCGATCTCTCCCAAATCCCTCTCAAGCTGCACGTACCCCTTGAACAGCTTCTCCTTCGGGCACATGCCGATTGCCTAAGACAACAAATAGATGGCGCGAGCGGGGGGGGGGGTATGGCGTCGCAAGCGAACACATCGGCCCGGACGAATCATGGATGGAACATCTTGTGCAGCAGTCGATAGCGCGCAGTCCACAAGTCTATCGAGAACGGAGGGGATGGATGAATCCTACAAAAACACGGCCATGAGAGGCAAGCGCCGCTGCTGCGCCAAGCGCTTGAGGAAGAGACAGTGCGAGGGGATCGACGATACGCAGCGGGGGTGGGGGTGGGAGGTGAGGAGGAAACACAGCCGGAAGCGACAGCAAAGCAAAATAAGGTACATAAATCGGAGAGAAAAACGAGATTTTCCTCACCTGTCCGAGCACCTTCCTCGCAGCCTGCAGGTCCTTGTGGCGCACCTCGAACTTGGCCAGCATGAGCCAGATCTTGGCGAAGGTGAAGGACTTGTGCGGTACAACGTCTAGGCACGCGCGGTACACCTCTCTTCGCAAGGGGAAGGGGGGGGGGGGCGCGAAAAGCAGAGGAAAGCAAGGGCGGTGGCCGCGGCGGCGGTAGCATCAGTTCATGGGCCAGTCGCTCGCAGGACATAAGAGATAAGAGCCTTTAGCGCGGGTGCCCCCAGCATGTTCGACGTGATTATAGTTTTTCGCGCGTGTGTGTCGTGGAAAAAGTTGGGTGTGTCTTTTTATGGCGACACCAGCCGGGGGGGGGGGGCAGAGGGGATGCAACCGACAGCCGTTGTTTCTATTTACAAGTAGCGTTGTATCTTATGAACCACCTTGGCGCAAGCTCAACACAACACCTCGTGAGCAGAGCACTACCAGGAAAAACACACCTACCTCGGCACCCAATTTCCCTGTAACCGCGGCGTGCGCTCATCCCGTAACCCTTTTATAAGCCGAGAAAAAAAACGTTTGCTCTCTTTTGGTGGCAAACTCGAACTCCCACGGCCTCTTGCCAGCACTGCCGTGTTGTGAGGAATGACTTGTCCGCGTGGCAAAATGGTAGGAACGTACCAGCGCAAAATACTAAAACTGCTGTCTAAGCGTGCTGCGAAACAAAGGCGCTTACCGAGTGCGCTGTGCGTCCTCCGCCTGTAGCTCTTCAAACAGGGCATAGTTGATCCAGAGGTAAATGTACCGCCTCCAGAATCGCTTCTCCAACACTGGCGGGACGTTGGCGATGGCGCGCTCGTAGACCTGCACACACACAACACAAAGACATCATAAACAGCAGCAGGTCGTGTCATAGAATTTTGGGGCAAAGGAACAGGAAGCACACAGCCCACGGTTATCGAAACAAGGAACAAAAACAAAAAAACACGAAGAAATCAGAAAGGAGAGGAAGGGAGACCTAGTGTACCAGCCATGGTGTTGCCTCTCTCTGGACCCCCACTTCACCACAACAAGGCCGATCACTGCTGTCGAGTCCATGCCCCCCCTCCCCCCTTTTCTCTTACCCTCCCCTCCCCCCTTTTTCTCTAACCCCCCCCCTCGCCCCCCTCTGCCTAAGCTCTTGTGCTAGCTCTGGTTCTCTGCCTCCCTCCGAATACTCCATTCTTGCCTCTCGAGTGCGGTCAAGGTCGCCGGTGGACTCCTCCAGCCTGAGGTAGTCGAACCAGTTGTCGTAGTCCAGGGGCGACGCCGAAGCGCGCTCCTCGTACTGCAGCCTCCTGTTGTTCATGATCACCTGCGCCGTACGGCAAAAAGAACAGTACAGTACAACAACAGAAAAACAAGACAATAGCGAAGAGAACGCAGAGATGTTATGTTGGCGGACGGTGGTTCCTTTGGCGGCGTACAGGCTGCGGGTCATCTTCTGCCGCGCGGAAAGAGCGACCGGCCTGACGCGCACAGATCTCACCACCACCACCACCGCCACTGCCGCCACTGCCGCCGCCGCCGCCACCACCACAAGCAGGAAGACCCCCGCACTACCCTCACTCAACAGAATCGGACCGAGCAAGCAACTACGACGCCGGCCCTCCGTCTACACTCCGGGTAGTGAACGGGCAACACGCATGTCAGACATTTCCTCAGTCGTGCATGTGTGGGCTCATTTATTCTCCCTTAGAAAAGTGCGAAAAACACTGTGCCTCACTGACGTCCTCGATGCATGTAACCCTGTTATTGCTGACCGACCTCCTCGATGCCCTGAACGGATCCGTGGCGCTTCTCGAAGCCGATGAAGTCGCGGTAAAGCTCGGGGACTTGCTCCCTGGGCATCTGGTCCAAGGCATACTTGTAGATCACACTTTCATTAGTGCAAGAATTTTGGACGGAATTCCCAAGAGATGCGCCGACAACACAGAAGGAACATGCGGGAGGAGGGGGGGTATTCACTAAAAATGTTTTGTCTCAGGTTTCTTAAGGAAGACTTGAAGCTGTATTCGCGCGCACCACCTCTCTCTCTCTCTCCCAGAGATCTAATTTCCGAACCTAACCTAGCCCCCTGCGGAGTTGAAGCGCCCACACGACACGGTGTCAGCTTGTTCCAGATGATGCATGTTCGAAACGATTTTTGCATTTTGGACAAAAAACACAAACCCTCGAGAGCACTGCCTGTGGGTTGTAAAACTCCGTCCCCTCTCCCCTCCTTTTTCTCACCGGGCGCGGTCGAACTCCTTGCAGCGCTCCTCGAAGTGCGCGAAAGCGCTGAAGAGCTTCTCAGTCTTCTCGGAATCAGACAGCTCGGCAAGCGCTCGCTCGTACACCCCCCTGGGGAACGACCGAGCAACAGGGAACCACGTGGCATCAACGACGATGGTGTTTACGGCGTCGAAACTAATTAGCGCGGGGGGGGGGTTACGAATTGCGAGTCTTGCGCTCAAGGCCATGGCTCGTCCCTCTCTTTCGCTGAACTGAAGCAATTGAGCAATTGGGCAAAAATTAGCAAGCAAGCACGCACGCACGCAAGCGAGAGCAGGCAGGGAGGCAGGAAAACACCACAGCACCACACAGCTCTCACCGCGCCAGCGCGTACTGCGACTGCTTGTCCTCCCATCGCGCCCACTTCAGGAACGCGCGAGAGTGCGGGTGCGCCTCCACGTAGCGCTGGAAGACAGACCTGCCGCGTGGGACAGTTAAAACGGACGGCAGAAAGGCCCGAAAAAAAACACGAAAAACAGACATTAGTCAAGCACAAACTCTGCACCGCCGGTGCGCGCCAAAATAAACCTACTTGAGCCAACCCCAGCACAACAGTAGCGAGTGCGGAAACGGAAGTGTTGCACTATGCCGTTTACCGATGAGCTCGAAACCAATCACACCGAGAGAGGTACCCCCGATCCGTGAACACATACAGCAGTAACGATACTGAAGGTTGTTTCTTAAACAAAATTGTCAGTGAGGCGGGGAAGTGCCCTGGACATCATACCCCCCTTTTTGCTGTTGCATTCTGCGGGACACCAAGCTTCTGAAAAACACGACGTATTTCAAGACGACGATCAAAGACGACACCGCAAGCACTACCCCTGCTGCACACATCTAAACACGCCCACGGTGCATCGAGCAGCTTCATGGTGAGCGACGCTCACCGACCGGAAACGGTTTCCCCATCCTTCGACGTCTACACCTTCTCCCCCATCTTCGTCACTGCCCTCTGTTCCCGCCAATACCCCCCGCCCCCCACCCTTCCCCCCTTGACCACCACGGTTTCTCTTGCTGCGAAAAATCTCAACTATCGCCCTTCCCCTGGCTTCCTGTCGTACCCCCCCCACCCCCCCTACCCTAATCCACGACCCCCCCTCCTGCTCGTCTTCCTGGTGTAGCTTCCCCTCGCCCTCCCTCTTTCTTGGCCTCACCTGGCCTTGGCCGGCTCCTCCTGGCGCATCTCGAACTTCACGTACGCGCTCCACGCGTTGTCCTCCGGCTCCCACTCCATCCACCTCTCGAAGATCGCTCGAGCCTTCGCCGGGTTTCCCAGCATTTCCTACATTGTGATGGTCACGGTGATGGTAGCCATGGCGGTGGCGATCGGTAGAGGTCCACGTGCACGATGCACGCGGCGGTATGGCAAAAACGCGATGGGCCGAACCGAAACGCACAACATGTGAAAAAACGGGGGAAACGGCAAGAGGAGAGGGTTGAAACCTACAGCGAATAAAGGGCAACTGCCATCAACTCTGCTCTCAAACCTACATGGGTCGAATGTCGCAAATCAGCGCACAAAGCGGCAAGCAAAGTAGTTGCAGAACAGGCTTGATTCCAACCTAGTGAATTTGTGAGCATTCATCTGTGAGCAGCCACCTCGAAGAGATTACCTATACATAGGCTCAACCAAAGCCACGTTCGAAATCGTACAACGTAAAAAAATCAAACGAAAACCAGACACACACAACCACATGAGGGTACCCAATCAACAATACACGTTAGAGATATCACACAAAGAAGATGAACCAACGCAACGACAACAACAACACACAGGCGCTCGGACCACAAAGACACCCATACAAGCCCGCGCAGCGCAGCGCAGGCAATAGGGGGTACCCCAAGCAAAGACAACCCCAGCGGTGAACGCTCCGCTCTCTTGGGGACCGCCTTGGCGAGGCTAACAAATATTTCAATTCATACTCTTTATCAACGAGATAGAGACGGGGGTTTCGTAACCCTAATGCACACCCGTAACCCCTACTAAAACCAAGATTAATATTAATACTTCGAAGTATTCATCAATGAAATAGAGAGGGGGGTTGTCTAACCCTTACCCGTAACCCCTACTAAAACCAAGATCTTCATCTCCTCGAGAAAGCTACTGCCGTCCCTCGCTCACCTCCATGTAGCTGTACTTGTACCAGAACTGGTCCACCCTCGGCAGCAGGGCGACCGCCCGGTCCCACACGTTGCGGGCGTGGTTGGGGAACTTGCACCTCATCTCGAACTCGGCGTAGCGCAGCCAGATCGTCTTACCGATCGCAGTGGTAGAAAGAAAACGGCGGAGGGGGGGGGGGGGGGGGGGGA